AAGATAATATTAGTGTTGCTTGAATAATTTTTGTCCTTGGATTGTTCTTAATTTATTACTGAAGTAGCAATTAATTTAAGTTTTAAGGACCAGTTTCCCCTTGGTCTTTTCTGTACTAGTGTTAGCTTTATAGTCTTGCTTCAGAGCATTTTAGAGTCATTGATGGGACTAAATAATTAGACTTTACTATGCATCTGGGCTTCTGTTCATCTCTCTACTTTTCTCATCCCTCTCTTCCTAGGAAGACATTTAGTGGCCTAATCTCCATTAAAAGCAGTAGATACTATCTCTCTAGATCTGCACACGTTCTGAAAATCTATCGTATAGTTTGCAGAAGATGGCTTAAGATGCCTGTAAGAAGATTCTTAGGGAATTTTCTTTCAAAAACAATGAATGCAGCCAGTATTACTCTGGCATCTTCATTATTACAGACAATTAACGTTTTTAAATATTCCACACACTCTGAATACTGTGTGGAAGATCTCCCTAGTACTAGAGCAATAGTAAAACTAAATTCTGTGTGGAAAATGAACCAGCAACTGTCGAGACAGTGATGTAATCTGACAGCTACTAACCATATAATCTATCTTGCAAATTTCTGTTTAACTGGACCCTGGAGCAGAAGAGTAATACTTTGTTCTCTTATCATTTTGGCTACATTCTAGACTTCTATTAAAGATGTGAAAAACACTGTTGCCTGGGAGTATATTTCAGTAGACTTATTCTTAAAATGGTGTATTTCTGTTCTTATTCTTTATTTGCTGCTTACCTTTTCATGTAATATTTCAGTTCAATAACAAGAAAAGCAGCTCTGCAGCATATGAAAATGTATTCTTAAAAAAGTCAGCTCTGTGGGATGCAGTATAAGATAGAATGCAGTTGTATCTGCAAGACAGCTTAAAAAGTTTTTGCTTGTCTTTTCTCTGTGCCCCTCTAAAAAGAATCTGGCTGTATGTTCTGTATGCACCCCTTTGGGTACTGGCATGTAGCAGGTAATCTTTCCTAACTGTCTCATCCCAAGACTGACCAGACCCTGTGTCATCAGCCTCCTGTTATATTCGTGTGCTTCAGTCTTCCAGTCATATTAGTGGCTCTCTGCGAAGCCTGTTGTGTCAATGAAATTGCAGTTTTTCAATAGACTTAATATCAATTCTGTTTTTTTCCAGAGGATTAAGGTAAACTGAGTGAATTGTTAGGCACTTAGCTTATGACTATTTAGCAGAAAAAAAATCGTGCAGTAGGGGTTTGTTAACAGTTGTTGAAATAATCTGATTGCTTTCTCTTACTGAACAACTGAGCTACTAAATAATGAAGAAATAATGGATGTTTTGCTTTGCTTCTGGAAGGACTGTAGGGTCCTGTATTGACTTTAATTTGCCTGTGAATTTAATTTTTAATTTATTTGTTTTTAATTTAGAAACCCACCAACCAAACTCTTAAAACAATCTTCAACATTCACTAGTGATTTAATTTTTAACTCTGGGAGCATTTTAAATTTATTTCAACATACTTAAATGTGGTTGAGTCTGCCCAGATTTTGCTCGATTTTTGTTAAATTTGGATATGGCCTTATTCCAGGTTGAAGTCCATCCCAGTCTGAACTGCCTCCTGAAGGGCGATCATGTTCTCTTTGATCTGCATGTTCCTGCCTCTTCCCTTGAGTTGTCTTCTGCACTTGTGTAGCTTCTTACAAAGGAAGGCTGCGCAGAAATCTGAGTTAAAAAGACACATTTCCTATTGTGGCATCCCAGGCTAAAATTGGCTTAGTTTTGTTGTGAATACACATCCTCATGTGTGTTATGCTTGCAGTAGTTGAGTGGTTAGATGATGGCAATCTGGAGAGGTTGCAAGCACTTTGGAGTTCAGTATGTAAGTGATTTTTAAAAATTAGTTTAAATCACTAAGTTGAAATTCAATAGCAATGAAGTACAAAGTATTATGGAAAGAGAAATTCAGGGTGCAAATGAAAAATTGGGAAACACTCAGATAATTGTTTTGTAGTTATAGCAATATTGGCTCAGGTTTAATAGAACAAACAGATTTGCTGAGGTTACAAAGAAACAGCACTTACAGCTTTAGCAATACAAGTATTTATTTCCTTTGTTACAGGGGCTGTGCCGTCCCTGTGGTTCTTTTGAAAGACCAGTCTATGTAAGTGGTCTTAATTTATTATGGGCAAAATGAACTATTTCAACTCAGAGCACAATTTAAACTTTATTTTAATAATCCACCTATTCTGTGCTGCTGTGTTGAGTGATTGGAGAGATGGAAGGGGTGAGAATCATATCAGTGCTTCCATAGTATATCTAGGTCCTCTTTACCCAAAACTTTAGGGAACATGAATTTAGTGAAGCTTAGAGGGGGAAACATATTTATAGGAAAGTATATGTAATTATATATTATTAACTGGATCATGCAAACTAGTGAAACTGAACAATTTCCTTCTGCAGAGGTGTTTAAAAAACAGTAGAAAAGTGTTTTACACTCCTAGAGATGGCTTATCTCAAGAGAAAGAACTGGAATCTTCCACTGAGGACTTTTCCAGACAATATAATTAATCTGTCAGATATGTAAGGTATGTATGCAATAGTGGAGACACAAAAATCAACCAACCAACCAAAAAATTATATACTTTGAGAATATTTTGAAGGAATCTAGAGTTCGGATGGGTAAGAAAGGTCAAATGTGGTAGAAACTACACAGTTGGCTGATCAAAATACATCTTGATATATGACTGAATGGTAACCTACCAAAATTCTAGTTCACATATACAGGACACATTTTAAATAGCTCCCTCCATGTATTTGAAAATTATTGCTTTTAAAGAGTACTGGGGCTGTATTTTGAGCAGTGTGGATATTTAGAGTCCCACTGTGAACTTCTAAATATTTTAAATTAAGCAAAGAGTTAAATTAAGCACAGTTAATTTGGGCAAATATGAATAGGAGCGGGCAAAAGCTGAGAGTCCCATGCCTTGTCAGTATTGTGGAACCCCAGACAGTGAAGTAGCAGGGGTGTTTTACTAATACGTAGCATTATTTTGTACAGCTAAATGTTTCCATGTACAGAGTGCTGTCTCTAGCCTCAATTTTAATTTGAAAGTTTAGAAGAGCTCTAAAGAGGGCTACCTCATATTGCTTGAGATACCACATCACTTCACAGGATGCGACTTCTAGTCTGAGGCTTTAGCGAAGAAATCAAGTAATCATTTGTAACAGAAGCATGCTTTGCACAGAAGACACAGCTTTTTGCTATCAATAATAAAATTGTCAAAATAAAGTACAAGAACACAAAGATATTTGCATGAGCTTCCAATACCATCAGAATAGAATCTCAGCTTCTTTGTTTTGCAGTTCTGATGTTCCGTACACTCCTTCAAAATATTTCATTAAAAAATTCTTCAGAGGTTCAGAAGCTGAGACATCTAAAAAGAGCCATTAAAATTCAGTTACTAGTGCTTGGAGATAGAGAGGCTATCTGCACTTTCTGAAAGCTGAGGTGCCTCATTTAGGTGATTTGAGAGAGAATTAAACAGCCACAGTGATACAGCTGAATTTAAAAGTCAGTGTTAGAGTATATGCAGTACTAGTTGTTTCTTGTCTACAAGTGTGTTCCTCTCGTCTGTTGATCTGTAAACACAATCAGATGTGTCATCACCACTAAACAAATTTCAACTGTAGAAAATGAATGTCTGTTCTGTGGGTTTTAGCCTCATTGGCATTTGTTTTCAATTGTTTCTAAAAATCTCATGCATTTCATGTTTGGTATAATAGTTTTGAAGGGGATTTGTATTTATAGAATTTATTTTTTTGATGATGCTTCAGTTAATTGTGGAGGTTTTTTTATTATTTGGATTGAGTTTACTTGTATGGCACTGTTTGTCACCTTTTAATCTGCCCTGGTGTTTAATACTAAATAGATATGTTAAATAAAAGTTAAACTATTCACTTGCTTTTATAGGTATCTGGATATTTTCCAGAAGGAAGACCTTTTGTTTTCTGTAAGATGCTCTTACCTCAAGTGCTAATGAGTTTCCAGCTATGAAGATGTAATTATATACCTGAAGTATTTAATTATAACTTCGAAAAATCTTCAGGAGCAATCTCAAAGGAATATTTGGAACACACTCATAGTAAATTGGCTCATTTTCTTGTAATTTACTGGAAGTGCTGATATGAGAGCATTTGTTATGTGGAAAGTATATTAATCTGTGCACTGTATATATTAAATTATTACTTTAAAACTTTAAGACATTTGAGATGATTTGGTCTTACGCTTGTTACTTAGAATCACAGTAGAGAAATGATCCCTATTTTTTGAAGTAATGCATTTGAAATAAATATGGCAACCTTAAAAACAAACAATGCAGTAATAAATTAAATTAGATGTTGCATAACCATGTATCTGTTCTAAAAGGTTGTTGTGGTTGAAGAGAGTCAACAGGAGGCTTGTAGTAAACTTTCTTTCCCTCAGTTTTTAAAAGCTGTCTAGAAATACTTTCAGTTGAGATCTCTGAAAAATAAACCCAATGGTTTTGACAGCAAATCCTGAAGCAACTACCTTGATGCTATTCTTTGGAGACAAAATCATTCTTTGGCTGTACTGTTTTAAAGAAAAGCAACCTTTAACTAAGTTTTAGGTTATTAACAAGTTTTATTTTTTACTTTTATTCTTTATATGTATTTATATTTTTATTCATTAGTTTATAATTAAGTTTAATAATTAAGTTTAATTAAGTTTAATTAATTAAGTTTAATTAATTAAGCTGAACTTCTAGTTATTAACTAAAAGTGCATTTCTGATATGCTTGCGAAATAATTATCTGTTTTCTTTTTTTAATAGAATGTGAGAAGTGGAGGAACTGCAATTAATTTCAATACTGTAATATTAATCAAAATTATTTTTGAAACTGGGAGGCTGAATATTCTTGCTCTTTATGGAGACATCATATGTAAGCAATATCTAAGTCTTTGTAAAACTGTTGCCCAGTAGACTAGAAAATGGAGACACAGCTAGACCCCATGAAGGATGATTTGCCCTTAATGGCCAACACTAACTACATGCTTGTAAAGCATTATATATTGGACATGGATGTGGATTTTAAAAGTAAAGTTATTGAAGGCGTCATAGTTTTATTCTTTGAGACTGGGAGCCAGTACAGGAAAACCCGCAGTACTGGCAAAGACTGCTGCCAGTCACAGTTTGATGAAACCTGTGAAGTGAGGGCATGTGAACCCTGCTACACTCCTATGACAAATGTGAGTGCCTGTTCATCTAAGCCGGAATATAATGATTTTGCTGTCTGTGGTAAAGGTGAAGAAGATACTTCTGATAAAAATGGTAACCATAGCAACGAGGCACAGGCTTCTGGGATTTCTAGTTCAAAGGACATCTGTGACATAGAGAATCATGGGAACAAGGATTTTCTGCTGGTACTGGACTGCTGTGATTTATCCGTACTGAAGGTTGAGGAGGTAGATGTTACTGCTGTGTCAGGCATTGAAAAATTCACAAGGTCTGCCAAGCTAACGGATGTTTCAAAGCAGCTAGAAAATCTCAGGAATCAGATTGTACATGAACTTGTGGCTTTACCTGCAGATTGCTGGAAGGAACAGCTATACTATTTTACTCTCTGCAGCCAGGCACCTGGCTGTGGAGAGCTTCTGTTTACTACTGGCACTTGGAGCTTGGAGATAAGAAAATCAGGAGTTCAGACTCCAACAGACTTTCCTCATGCAATAAGAATATGGTACAAAACCAAACCAGAAGGAAGATCTGTTACGTGGACTACAGACCAGAGTGGCAGGTATGTAACTATTAAGTAAAAGCTTTGCACACAATTGTTATAAACATAGGTGCAAGAATGTAGAATCGTGTAATGCTGAGCAGCTGTGAAGATGATGAGCATCCTCTTCCACTGTGTTCATTTCCTTGTTTTGAATCCTGTTGCTGTCCTGTAGAACAGACGAACTCTCTGCTCAAGAAACCCTAATGGGCTTGCACACCTCAGGCCTGTCTAAGTAATTGCATTTACTCATTCTGAGAGGGAGTAAATAATTGTTGTGTATTAGAGTATGTGGAAGCAGTAAGGAATTATCACTTGGGGGAAGGGAAGGTATGCTTCACAACTAGTTTTTTATCAGTATTGTAATAAATTTAGACATGCAGTCTTTTCTGTTTAGTCTGTCATAATCAACTTCTAAAATCTCCTATATTATGTAAAGTATATTGATGATAGGAAATGAACAGCAAACTGAAACTGCAGGAAAAATTTGCAGTTTATCTAGCATTTGTACAGTGCTGTATCTTCAAGATAAGCTCTTTATAGGGAGGAAAGTAATACAAACCAGTCCACTTGACTTCTATAACTGTAATTATTTTACAGTGATGTTCAAAGCTGGATTTGAATGGCTTAGTTCCTTGTGATGTCTAAAAAACAGAAACAAAGTTGGGAGATGAGGAAGAAATTTGTCTAATTGAGTATTTGCTTTTCATCTCTGAACTAGAGATATATGGTTACCTTTCATTTCAGTTACGCTAATAGAAATTAAGAGTCTTCTCACTGGCATCCATTTTAGGGAGGAAAATGAGGCCTTTTAATTGTGTAACTGGTGGTTAGGTAGTTCTGCTCCTAAACTATGAGCATTATTAAGACCGGGAATGTACAGTTGTACACAAGCACACAGAATTTCATAAATGAATAATGAAGCAGGAAAAGATGGCTTGATGTGGGTCAGATAGTCTGATGTTAGCAAATAGTCTCAAGCTGGTTTATTTTTAGAGGGTATTCCAGAAACAAATGCCTGTGAGAAAATAAGTTTTCGTATCATAGTCATTAGAATCTTTCTTGCTACATTTTAAAAATCAAATTCCGTATGTGATGAACCCATAAATATAGTGGTGAAGCTCACTGTACAGAATGCTGTCATATTTTTCCTTCCTTTCCTAAAAATAAAGCCCATTTATAATGTATGGAGGAAGTATTATTACATTATATTCTTACAGGAGAATTATTGAGATTTTTCTCATTTATGCGTATGGTGCTTTTTCAGGCAGATGTCAAATTCTTTCCCAGTGGAGTCTATATGGTTCTAAACCCAAAGAAAAGTGAAGTGAATAATGAGGTACAAATATTGTATGGCCACTTCCAGTATGTTTCCTCTAATTTAACACCAATACAGTGTTTTGAAACTTAACCTGTGCACTATTTTATAAAGACTTCCAATTTATTTGTTTTATACAGTGATGTATTATAGTACACACACATAAAAAAAAAGGTTACAACAATGCTGTGTGGAGTGAGTTTAGTCAAGTTGAGATATGTGTATGCAAACCTGATGTTAGCATAGCAAGGCACACAGTTCTGTTTTCACTGGAGGAACTGAACACATGGAATTCCAGCATTTCCCTGTTTGGGCTTTTGATACTAGGAAATATATTAATAGTCAAGAAGAAGGGTTATCTTTAACCTTAGAACATGTTTTTCGTAATAACATGCTTGTTGGGGCCGTTATGCCCAAGTAATAAGAAGGGAGTAAAATAGAAGAGTATGTGAGTATATGTGGCTATGCAGATGTATATACACATATATTTATAAACATACACACTCTGGAAGTTGCAAGGACTATATCAGTACTTAAAACTGGTAGGTAACTTCTAACAGAGCTCAGTAACAGAATTATTAAAGTAGAAAAGAAAAAGTGTTGATTATAATGTCTGTAGTATACTTATCATGAACAGAGAGCAGTTCTGTTTTAAAGTTTTTCAACTGTTTACTAGCACAATACAGCACTGGGGTTTCAAACTAAGAAGGTAATTTAAACAAAATTACTTTTACTTGAAGCATTCTTACTAAGTATTATAGAATTATTTAAAATAAAAACTTACTTTAGGCACTCTAATAACCAATTTGTGGAGGGAATAATGTGTATACAACATCATTCATTCTTTGGAAGGAGAAGCTTCTTGCCAGTCCATCAAGGAGTTGAAGCAGTTTTGCCTAAGTCTCTGTAACAGTGTTGAGTCAGCATGGCTACTAGTGTATTTCAAATTAAATGCTTTCTCACAATCATTGTTAAGAATCCTGATTCGCTAAAATATGCTGGGATCCCATATTTTTATTGTTTAAGAAAAGGATTAAACACATTTGGGTTAAAATTAAAGAGGTGATTTCCCTAACAAACAGCCTTGCAGATTCACCTCTAATAGGAAATTTCTCCAACCTTTTTTCTGCCCTTCTTATTGCAACTTCTAGCGTTGTTAGAAGTTAGTTAGTTAACAGTTAACAGTTTTGTTGATGTTAATACACAACTGGAATGGAACTTATTTTCTCATGGTGGGATTAGGAATGAAAGAGTATCTTTGGTATGAATGAAATCAGTGAAAAACATTCCATGACACTGAAACCTTTCAATACAGGGTCCTAATCCTGCAAGCTACCTGTTCATTATTTACCTTGGCGTACACAAATAGGTACATGAATTGGTCAGGCACATGCATTTATTTTTTTAGGTTGAGCCCAAGATACCAGATATGCAGAAAAGTAGAAATTCTGGGAAGTAAAGGGGATGGGTTGAATTACTCCAAGTGTATGATTTTCATGAGGATTTATGGGAAAAGTATATTTTTAGAAGCTATTAAAGATGGTTGAGCAGTTTTGCGGAAAGAGCTTTAGAAAGAGTTAATCATGTGCTAGTTTTCTGAAGTGGGAAATATCGGAAAATTACCTCCTTAAAAAAATATTATGACATCTTGATATTTATTTGAACAATGTAAATGTCTTACCAATACAAAATATTTTGTACCTGTGTAGCTGATTATCTTTATGGTATCTTATTGCTATATTAAAATATCAATGTATTGTTTAAGAATTAAGAAAATATTTTTGCCTTTATGAAAACTATGAAGGTGAATACAGCAAGCATAAATGTACAATTTGGTGGAAGTACTAATGCTAGCATATACTCTATAATTAAATACTTTGACAAAAGAATATTCTTGGGAGACCTTATAGCAGCCTTCTAGTACATAGAAGGGGCCTACTAGAAATCTGGAGAGGGATTTTTTACAGGGGCATGTAGTGACGTGACAAGGAGGAATGGCTTTAAACAGAAAGAGCGGGGATTTAGATTAGATATTAGGAAGAAATTCTTTCCTGTGAGGGTCGTGAGGCACTGGCACAGGTTGCCCAGAGAAGTTGGGATGCCCCATCCCTGGAAGTGTTCAAAGCCAGGTTGGATGGGGCTTTGAGCAACCTGGTCTGGTGGAAGGAGTCCCTGCCTGTGGCACAGAGTTTGAAATTAGGTGATATTTGAAGGTCCCTTTCTACTCTAACTATTCTATGATTCTATCTAAAGGTTGCAGAAAGGTTTGCAGAAAAGGTTTGTGTCCTTAGTGATTGGTACTTAAGAGTGAAGAATTGCATTTGGCTACAATGAGCTAGCAATTTGCAATGCATGGTGTCTCAATATTGGCTACAAGTCATTTCCTAATCATACTCACATACCTGGGAATTTTAGACCATACTTAGAACATGTTTGCAGTAGGCCTGCAAAAAAAGAGGGTAACTGTACTGATTCCCAGGCTAGATCAAACAGTTTCTCCCTGCTTAGCGTAGAGCCTTTCTGATTACCCTCAAAGTTACCGAAAGTTTCTCGCTACTCAGTCTGGAGCCTTTCTGATTACTCTCAAAGTTCAGCATAATGCTTTGGTTTTGTATTGTCTGTCTCCAAAGTTTATTAACATTATAGAGTCAACCGCAGAGCTATTTTGCACTGATGAAAAGTGGGAAGGAGGGAGAGCTAAAAAGGAATGAGGAAGAAGCCTGCTGAAGTACACTTGCTGAAAGAGATACTCTTGACCTCTCTAAACTTGGTTGCTGGTTCCCTTCACAACTTGTATGATAACATAGGTGTGTGTACAGCTGGGTGATAAGGCGTATGAGAGAGCTAATATAACTGAAAATAAGCAGGCAGGGGAAGGGAATGTGTTACAGGAGTTACTTGGAATATTCTACTACAGTTAATTTGGAAGGTATCTGTTTCACTGCTAGTACAAGTTTGTGCCAATGTAACCCTCTGTCTATAGCCTTTATGGAGTCTCAGGCATCCTTTGACTTTTCATAATATATTTGATGTTTTCAAAGCAGATTTCTCCAGGGTGGAGATGGAAGAAATGAATCAGTTTCAAACTGCAAAACAGAAAATATGTAACAAAAATAGTTCTTTATTTTTCAGTGGCATGAGTTAGCATCATCATGTGCTCTTGGATGCTGGAAATACAGGAAGGAAATGAAGAGCTTGTTCTTCTTCATGGGCAAGGTTTGGGAGAATAAGGTGCTCCAGAATCCAGGCAAATCACAGACTAAATCTTAAATGGCTACCATCAACTGTGGGGAATTCTCTCCTGTTATTTTCTGTAATTTTGCTCACTATGATGAGTATTTATATTTGAGTAATTAATGAAGCGTTCTGAATTTTGTTGGATTACTAATGTTTGATACAGTGATTTCTGAGGAATTAAAAATGGTGTCGGGAATAGAATGGAGAAGTAAAATAAAAATTAATAAAAAAAAAAAATAGACATACCGTGAGTAGAAAATGAGCTGATTTGGTATTTCTGAAAATGTGGATGGCAATGAACAAATACTTCTAAAAAATAAAAATAGCTCATCTGAATTGGTTGTCCTGACTAGAAAAGAAGGCTCTGAGAAATGAGGGGTTTTTTAGGGAACTCAATACTTTTTCAGAGTTACAGCAAGTTTCATGGCCTAGCAGGGCAATGTAAGTAGATGATGGTGAAGTACCT